AAAGACATCGTCGAGTGAACAGGATTCTAAGAACTCACAGGGGCGAAGACTGCTTCCTACAAACTGCATAAGGTCACTATATGATGATGAGCTTGTTTGTATATCCTCCTGTCCTGTGACCTGCTCATGAACATTGAGCAGGCATGCAAACCATTGGAGATAACGTGCCTGGATTGTTTTATATGGGATTGACATGTTGACGTATGGTACAAGTGCTTAGCATGCAATTTTCTTGTCTACTATATATGTATATTGAACGTATACCAACGTCTCTTGGGATTTGTTGCTTGTGATTTTGTACAAGTGTGTATATCCATTTAACTACGGATTTATATACAATACATATTGAATGACGGTTAAAGTAACCCGAAAGGTATCGGGCTCGTAGCAATACAGAACAAAACTACTGTAGTAATACTAACTTAGTCATGTAGCAAAACTCTGCTATAGTGATATAGCGATATAGTGACATTCGTTTGAGAACAGCATTCTTATGGCTTGCATTGCTCAAAGCTGCGGCCTCGCTGTTCGAATGCCACTTGCAAGCATCCAGCTCAAAGCCACAATTCACAGCTTCGTCATACGTCAGCACCTGCAGCAGGGATGGTGTGTGCGCATCAGCTGCTTCTCAACAAGATCTACTGCCATGCATCGGGTGTGCTTCCTCTCTTCCCAAACGCCTGAAGGCAAATCTGCCAGCCAGCTTGGTTGACCGTCACATCCTGAGCTGCGGTTGGCCCAGAAATCAACAAGGCGCGTCTTCCAGGATTGACCGATCAATGTTTAGCGAGCTTCAGATGACCAGTGAATCGTTCCTTCTGGCACGATTTCTTGGGGCCCATCTGCCCCTGAATAAGCAATGCCGTTCACAATCAACTCGTCGTAAAAGGACTCCGTGCTGAAGGCAACAACATTGATGGCCCAGACGTTCCCTTCTGCGACACGGATGCTGCAAGTGTCGAAATCCGGATAGTTGCTTGGGAAGTTGCTGCTGCTGATGCAGAAGCCTTCAGCAGTGCAAGACCTGAAGTTGGCAGGAGCATGGCCAGAAATGCCGCTCCTATGTCAGTGTGACAGTCTTCATGGATGAGTGTACGATACAGGGGGTTTCCGAAATAGGGGACCCTAATATAGTACCCTCAATAGTGGGCTCCTTATTCTAAGGACCCCCAAAATAAGATACCCCTTATCTTCGGAAACTCCCATATCTGGAACCAATGTGGGAGTTTCCGAAGATAAGGGGTATCTTATCTTGGGGGTCCTGAGAATAAGGATCCTACTATTTAGGGTCCTACATTACGCTCTCACGACTCGGACAGGCCAGGCGAGGTTCTTGGTGCGAAGTCGGCGTGAAACAGGACTCAGGAACCACTCAGATCCAGAACCCAGCCCAAGACCAGGAAGTCTAAAACCCTTAGCCATAGCAAGACCGCAGAGAGGTTCCCGACAGCGACTACCGCAGCAGCAAGACAACAACGGCACCGAAGCTTACCGAACAAGGTGCAAAGGCGAATGCACCAAAATGCACTTGCTTGCTGCTGAAGCTACACTACAGAGTTACGGGTTTTCACGGGAGTCAGGCCATACCGAGCACAACACACCCAGCCAAAGTAAAGTTCGCAACCCCGCATTCGGTATGGCATGGCGGCGGCACTGAGACCGCATGATTTAGTGTTCTACTTGCACTGTACAACTACAGCTACTTTGAGCTCACTCAGGCTTTCCGACCACAGCACTACGGTACCCACTGGTTCGTCGTAGCGGCGCGGACCCACTACGACGTTTTCAGCTCTGGTTCACCCACTGTGCTTTCTGCCAGGGATTTCCAACTTCCACATTTCCAGCTCGGCTGAAGTTCACTCTCATAGCAAGCGGCGAAGCATCTCTCCGGCTGAGCATCTTCTTGGTCTCAGTTCTGTAAAGGCCTGCTTTCAGCCCGCAGCGGTTGCCGGGACCAATACTCTCAATTTTGGGAGTCTTCCCGCCTTCTATCTGGCTGGCGTCTTCAGCTGAACCCGGGGTTGTCGTCCCTTTCGTTCTTGGGGTCGAAGTTCCAGGGTCCCCTATTTTCGGAAACCCCCCATGTCAGAAGACGAGAGAAGGACTGAGCCTTCGGGGGCTGTTACGGTGCTCAGGGCCAGGCCCCGACTCCAGGAGCCACGGCTCGGCCTCAAGACGACAAGAGATCTCTCGTACCCCAGGCTAAACCCAAAGTAAGCTTACTAGATGATGATGATGATAGGTCAATGATAGGTCCGATAAGTAATAGTTTAACCGTTTCACGCATGACTTTTAGTTGAAGTTGAAATCTGCGGCGCCTGGAGGGTCCGCGTGGCTGCAGTCACTTCTCCAAGACAAATCTTCCAGCCCTTCCCATTCTGGGAGTCGTCCTGGGCACTTAATCAAAGAGCTGGGCGTGAGGCATGGTATGGCGGTTCCGCGAGCTTCAAGCCTTTGCCCTACATACCTGTGTCTACGACGAAGCGCAGTGGCCACATACAAGCGCACTGAATGTGATCGCCCAACAAAACTCAAAGATCGAGTAGCTCAGCATCAGTGTTGCCCAAAAGTGCCTAAGAGACTGTCTCAATGCACGCTCCGAATTGGAATGAACACTGACCTTTTGGCAGAAGCAGTTGCCTAAGACGAAGCGGCCACACGAAAGCCTGATAAAGCCTCCATAGCTGCGGCTGCTGCCCGTACCAACCACTTGAATCCCAACGCTCCTCAAGTCTTCTTCTGCCTTAGCCTTGTCTGGACGAACGACGTCATTTTCTTTGCTCTGCCTGATGGCTTGGGAGGCACCTCCTGGCGGCTGAACCACAGCGACTTTCCAAAAGCAATGCAGACAAAGTGTCAGAGCTCCACAGAATCGGCATTCGCGGCACCACTCCATCAGGTCCATGAGAACCTGTGTAGCGCTCGCCATTGACATGAAGACCATCGCGGCCTGTGGAGAAGTCCATAACCACGATCGCTCGCCTGCAAGCATTAACTGCCACGTGCATCATGCAAAGGCGTCAGCACGAACAGGTCCTGTTGTCGGGTGCCAGCTCGATCTTGCACACATCCCCCTTGGGATAGATGCGCGGATAATTCGTACTGCTGATGCAGCCATCAGCTTGAGCTTCGCAAGACCTGGCGTGTTTTTTGTTGCCAACAACCTCCCGGCGCAGAGTCTACTGTAATCATATAAGGCGCGAGCCCAAATGCCACCCACCATTCTCTGCCTGACAGGAATCCGAGCATGTCTGCTACACAAAGTGCGCATCATCCATGCCTTCGATGGCCACAGGTGAGGCACCTGGCATGTTTGGACGTCATCTTAAAACACACAGGGCAACACATGGGAAACACAGGACGCCTTGCAAAGCTGGCAAAGATAGCACGAGCAGCCAGTGCATTGCGAGCATACGAAAAAAACTTTGCCTCTACGAGCCCGAAGCTCCGCAACTACAGGCACATGTTGAGCACAAGTGGCGGCAGCATATTTCCTCATTCGGTCCGCAGCATGCCTGCAGGAGGCTAATGCCGCCAGGCACACTCTCTCGCTAGCGGTTGCGCCGACGTGCGCGATTGGCCTGCTTTGCACGAGCTGTAGGGTGTAAGGCCCGCGCAATTTGCCCGAGCCCTGCGGGGTATCAGGGGTGGCTGTATCATGGAACTCGCTCTTGTTCTGTTCATTCTCGCGATTGCGTCGTATTGCCTGCCTTCGAGGCGTTCCATCAAGCTCTGCTTCCGTCGCAGGCGGGGCCCCACGCGGCCCTCATGCGCGCGTGGCTTGTGTTGCACGCGTTGCCGTTGCTAGGGCCAAGTCGTTCCGCAGCACTCAGGAAATCGACCCGCTGCAGGCTGGACACGGTTATCGATGGGGCCACGCTTTGCTGCAATGTCACCATCGCCTCTGCTGACAAGGGATGCCCGCCCGCAATGAACCAAGGATTGTCCATGGGGATGCCGAACGCCGCAAGCGCATGCAAGCGTTCTGCCTACCCTGAGCTTCTCGGCAGAGGGTCTCCGTGGCTGCGGGTGCTCGCGTGCGAGATCGGCGGCCGCTAGCATGTGCAGCAGCTTGTCCAGTGCAGGCCGCAGCGGCTGGTGGAGCCCTGCTTTTCAGATGAGGCGGGGCTGAGGATCTGCAGTCTTCCCCTTGCGAAGAGCTGCTGACCAGATCGTAGCGGAGACGCGATGCAGGCAGGATGTTAGTTAAAACAACAGTGCAAAGCACACAAAATCTGCCAGACAGAGCATATCACTGCCCCATACGGTAGCCCAGGCAGACCATATCTCTGCCCTGGGGGGAAGGGGGGTGGAAGAATGGGAAGACAAAACGCCGAAGACCCGTTTGATCACCCAATTGCGGGTGAGGACATGTTACGATTTGAGGCCCGCCGCCCCTTTGAGACATGCATGCAGCAATTGTGACAACACTCATCTTCACTTGTGTTGCACCACAATTGCTGTTATGTTTGTTTTGTTCCTTTTTGCCCGTCTAATATTGAGGATATGAGTTGCATTTTTTCAATGGAATGGTTGGAGACGCAATGCAGGGAGGATATCAGTTGAAACAACAGCAGCTCCATTGTGCCAGGAAGCAACACATGGTGCGCAATCAAATGTGCAACATCTCCAACTGAAGAGTGCTTAACTGCAAGCAAGAGCAACATCATTTCTGTTGACACCACATCGCCTGTCCCTGCAAAGCTCAGCACTGTGACATTGTGTCCCCTGAGGCAGAGCTCCTGCCCGATGGAGATGCAGTTGTGAAGCGGAGAAAGCGGCACCCCGACAACGAGGAAATCAAACTTCTCGGCTGCCATGGCACCTGAATTGGCGGAGCAGCGCAGAAGCGAGTTCGAAGTGGCTGCACAGCTTGAGCCGGAGAGTTCTTGTGGCGCAATGAAGATGCTCGAGTAAAGGGTGCATCTGCAGAAACTGCCTTACAGTATCCGTATCCCTGTTCCAAGCACGGCCAGCTTTGGCAACTTTTTTTGCTTGGATCAGCTGCTGCTCCTCTTGCGCTTCTTTGCTTTTGCTTTCTTCTTTCGCTTCCGCCTTTCTGCCTCACTGGCTGAGCTTGAGGATGTCCTTGGCTGCATGTGCAACAAGCCCTCTGCCTCGAGGGTACTCACTACGCATGCTTGGGACATCTTGGAACACTGTTGAGTCTATCATCCCGAGTGGCTCGCTAGAACTGCTTCGTTTGCGCCCCTTCCGATGCTGGCGACTGCGGCTTCGACTCTCAGATCGACCCGACATATTAGGATAGCCCGCGCCATAGCCATAGAAGCCGTATGGCATGCCATAGGGATAGCCCGGCATGGGGTATCCATAAGCATAGCCATACGCTTGAGGAGGGGCGACCTGTCCTGCAACGCACAGATGATCATGGCACCCAGCTGCCACATCAATGACTTCCGCACCGACCTCCTGTCGGACCACCTGGCAGGCAATGCACGCTTTCTGGTGAACAAGTTTTTGCCCTACAAGAGCCATTGATGATCGCGTCATGTTGACTTCGACCATTCCGCGCAAACAACGTGGTCAAAGTGTTCAAAAACGCAGACGCCAGTACGATTGCCTTGAACACCGTTCTTCGCATCTCGAATGCGAGACAGAAGGGCCGAAGATGGATTGCGAGCCTCAGCAGAATAACCGAAGTAGGTTGCTAGCACCAGCGGCAGTAGCTCACGGTCAAGGAAAGAAGTAGCAACTCTTGCGACGGGAATGCCGCTAAGTGCGAGTGCACGAATCTGACGGGATGACCGTTTTCAGCTCGCCACGTGCGAGAACGGCGTGCTGCACCGAGGGGGAACATCCCCTCCAGTTGTGTTTAATCGAAGAAGAACTCCTTAACAATCCATGCCCATCATGTCATGCTTCCTCAAGGAGTCCGCTGCACTTTCGTCTACTTTGTTGTGCCTGATGAACCTTGGCAGCCAATACGCACCGAGCAAGAATCGTGAACCCTTCATATTCCTCAGCTCACTGCTCCTCCACCTCCAAGCTGGCACCTCCACATTTTTGCTCGGTCAGCGCGTGTAGCACACCGCGCAGAGACAAGACAAGAATCCGAGTGCCCCACTAGGACTGGCCCCTTGCCACAATGGACAAGCACGGTGTTGAAGGTTGACTTGCTAGGTTGCAGCACGTTGCAGCTCGCGTACCTTCGGCTGGAGGTTGGGAAGCTGCGCTGCGCCTTCAGCTCCGGTCAAACAGCTTAGGCCTAGGTGCTGAGTTGACCTCTGTCTGGCCAGCATCTAATTGAAATCTCTCTTGCTACTTATGCCGCGCTAAGACTCTAAGCCTCTAGCGCATCACGGATCCTCGCAAGAAGAGCCGCAGATGGATTCCGTGCGCTGTGCAGGTCCCCTCGCGCAAGCACCTGGTTGGACAAATGCAGGGAGCAACATCACATGTCGCCGTGCGCCTCCCCATAAGGGAAGGAGACGGAACCAATAACTTCTGTGTTGCTGTGATTCGAACTAGCCCTGACTGGCTTAGTTATGGGTGGGACTTTGCGTTTTTGGCTGTGGATTCCTGGATGTTGAAGTGGAGCTTCATAGGCTCTTGCCTTCAGGATAATGCTGATTGCTCCCGCAAGCGTGTCTTGGTCGAGTCACCAAAAGGTGTCCGCACAACTCACACCGTACATGGGAGAACGAAAGCATTCTCATGCAGCATGCTCTCGCCCGCACATTGCCTTGGACAGCGTAACTTTTCAACAACATCACTTCCATGCCTTCCGCTGCACTTCTCCGGGACAGTCCTGCGCCGGAATTGCGGCTGAACTTGCATCTCGTGCTGCGGAAGAGTAAGCAGCATAAACTTGGGATCTGATGCACACGTGCCATTGCATCTGCCAACTCGAGAAACAAACCCAACCCAGCCCGTCCCGCAGGTCAGCAGCGGCGCGCGAGTCGACATCATTCGCCTGTTGATGCACAGCTAGCAAACGCACCACTGAACAACTGGTGAAATGCTCTTTGCGGAACCCGAACAGGCAGAGTGCAACGCGAGTGTGGGTGAGAAGCTGACGGTGCAACAACGATGCGATGAGATCGTGTTCTGTCGAGCAGTCTTGGCCACCGTTCCTCGAGGAAGTCCTGCACCTCCTCCTCACTTGGCAGGGCCATGGGTTCGCGGCATGGGGAAGAACTATCAGAACACCTAACTCAACTATTGCTCCTAGGTTCAGATGACTCTCTCTGAAGGCATTGCTCTGCAGCACTTCCGGATGTCCACATGGTCTTGGAATTTTTTCTGCATGCACTCTATGCAGGCGTAAAGAGAGATTGCTTGCAAGGTAGATCTCGTTGGTGCTGGCCTGTGCATGCAAGGAGGCGCTGCCCTGGCGAGATAATCACGTTTCCACACTTTGGCACGAAAGGCTTCTGACGTGGTGGTCTTTGACAAGCACATTGGCTTGCCCATCCCCCATCATCTCACTCTCGTCCATCACAAACGACCTCATCTCGTGTCTTCGCATGGGGACGGATGTGATGTGGGTCACGCGCCTTCCACCCTGAGCTCGTGCGCTCGAGCTCCACGGGATGCCAATCCTTCCGGAAGCTCTCAAGGTGCCTGCAGTTCAGTTGCGGGCTGCGCTCACTCCCCGCCGGAGATATTCCGCGATGCTTCCGAGATGCCCAATACTCACCACCTGCATTGCAGCATGAGGCAATAACGACAAACAGCCGACGTTGCAAGCTTTCAATCCTTGCGGCCGACGCACTAGAGCTCCTGCTCGCCTAGGGCCTAGGGCCTAGCGCCCTGGGATGCCCTATGGCTCTTGATAGTAGGCGACATCCATGAAGACCATGAAGAACTATACAAAGCTGTGCTTTTTGATACGGCTTGACTGTCTGAGCCAAGCCTGCAGGCGCTGGACCTGAGTTCACAACTGCATGCATCAGCATGCAATCGCTCGGGGTCTCTCACGAACCTTCGGAGCTGCAACCAGGAAACATCCAGTCTCCAGGCAGAAAACAAACTCGTGTCCTGCAGTTGTATGCTTGGTTTTTTGCACTATCTTGGCTAACAGCTACCAGTCCACAGAGAGGCTCAAAACAAAAGCAAGCACACGCTCCACATGCCAGCAATGTCCTTGTACAAGATTTGCATCCATTCTCGCCAGAAGCTTTTGCCTTCAGCTGCCGAGAGCTCTCGTGCCGGACCTTGGAATGTCACCTGAGCGAAGCAGCAGCTGGCGCGTTACACTGCCGCCAGATCTTGCGCGCAGCTTAGGTACCGACGTATGTCAAAGTTCGCGGATCCCAACACAAAAGCGCTGTCTTTGGATTCTGCGACAGTTCCCGAAACCTGGACAATCCAACGTGAAATCAAGATGCTTTGAAAAGGTCAGATAGGCCGCACCTGATACACTAGCAGGTCGATGTGCGAAGTGCCGACAACATTTACTTTGGCGCCACTGGCCGTTCGAGTTGAGTGGCGCAGAAACGCTACGAGTAGTTCTACTAGTTTCCACTGCTCACTGCTGGACGGCAAGGCTAGTGCCTCCCTGCCACCCGTGTCATTTTTCCCACCCGCTTAGCTGACCAGCTGTGTCATTTTTGGCCTCCCACCTAGCTAGGACACAGCCAACATTGACCAACTCTGTCATGAGGGCCAGGCTTGCGGCTTGCAGCCGAGGTGAAGAAGTGGATGGAAACATTGTCACCATCTCGGTGTACACCTTGCTAGTTAGGTGAACATCCGCGAATTTACTGGCATGCAAGAGCCTCTCTGGAGTTGAGACCTGCGTACGCGGTTCGATTCGAATGCGGCAGCGGAATGTGCAGCCGGAACTCCAAAGGGCTCCCGCAGTTGGATGACTCGCGAGGCGACGCCGCCTCATCAGCGTTCGACTGCATTCTCCATAGAAGCCGTGCTCATGCATTTGTTCAGGCTCAGGTTCTGAAGTGTCAAGAACCAACGGATGATTCTAGTGCAGGAGGAGATTACGTAGCCGCAACACACCTAAATACCGCCAAATACTTGCAGACTGAAGAACATAGAAGAACGGCGCAAAAGAGTCCCACCTGCAGGCTGCATGTCTCGTGGCTGCTTTAGAGCACAGCCGAGAATATCCCAATGAACAAACAGCTTTGCAGCAAGTCTTGTTCTCACGGAACAGCATCCCAGAGAGCTGCCACATACACGCCAAGTACGAAGGGCGGATTTCAGTCATACTCCTGTTTGCTTAGTCACAGGGTCTCCCGACGACAAGTCGCACTCATGCATATGCTGAAGCTTCCAGAACCCGGCAAAGCTGCAGCCTGACTGAATCGTGGATAACACGCCGCAGCTCTGCGGCGTTGCTTTTGTCAAGTTCAGGGCTTCCTGCCAGAACGCTGTAATTCTAGAAGCGTTTCGGAAGGTCGAGCCAATGTTTTTTCATCTTCAACCCTCGAACTGTTCTGCCTACACCCCAAAAGTTTTGAGCTACCCGGCCTTATGTCATGTTACAGACTCTTGCGGGGTAGCGGAGTGCTTGACAGTGACGAATTCCCTACGCCGGCTAGCGGAGCAATTGCAACGCCGTTCTAAAAATTATACTACTACTTCATTGCGCAAGCGGCCCCAAGGCTCACTTGTGTCAGGAGTCTACAGGGGGCCAGGGCGGGGGCATGGGTCTCACATTCGATATACCAAAACTACAGGCAGCAAGTGGAGCACTCACGAACAAATTGTTTGCTGCCACGGGTGGACGAGCAGTAAAGTAACGGCGGAGCGCCACAGTCGAACCAAGGAAGTCGCAAAGTTGGAACGACTGTGGCTTACGCCCCGTTGGGCCGTCGTGACAGTGTCCACGCTGCCAATCACCAACAAGAAAACGGCCTATCCGACGACCAACTACGCAGAGCGAGAGCGGTCCCATCCCGTTTTTGCTGAAAAGCAACAGCTGCAGCTGGTACAGTTGAAAAATAAAAAAAGAAAAGGTCTTAACTGCCTGCTAGGGTGCTTTGCACCTGCTGGAACACCCAAGATGCTCCACAATGGAGCCCTGTATGCTCCGTGACCGGTACGGTCACTTAAAGTTCCCATCCTGCAGAGGAACTCCGCTCAGGACAAGGACTCCTCTTCATCCTCGTCTGGGTCGCCGAGACTTGGTGGTGGCGGTGTGGGTGTAGTAGAGGATGAAGCTTTCGGGATTAACCTTAGGACTTCTCTTCAATCCGCCCCTCCTTAACACTTGCATAGCTCTTGCTGGCACCCGATATGACAGGCAGCGTCCAACAGATCGGCTTCTCTGTCTTCGTGCGCATGTTGGATTGATCTTTTGACCTCTGGCTGAGTAAGCCTCTTTCCCACGGGATAGGCTTTCGCCGGATCGGCGCCTGATCCTCCTGTCTTGTCTTCCGGCTTCAAGGTGAAACGGGGTGCCCGACCGGAGTTATCTGGAGCCCCGGACGGAGCGTCGTCAGCTTCTAAGGGCTTGCCGTCGAAGAGTCGGGACATGACACGATCTGTCTAGACAGGACGACTCCCACACCTTAGGGAACTAGAAGTTGGGGTGCCCGCTTGGTCCAGGTGCTAAAGCGATGAGCTGAAGCTTCTCGGTGCGGTGCGAGGGCTCCCAGTCCCGAGCCTGGCACAGAGGACCCCCCGCTTCTCCCGAATGGCTTCACACCAAGCTGCAGAGAGCTCCTCGAACAGCTGCATGCAGTAGGAGAACGGGAAACGTGCTCATCCTCTTCATGGGCTTCCCGCAAGGCCTGCAAGGATTGTAGGCGTTCTGGCACATGTTCCAACACATAAGCACTCCCGAAGATCTTGACAGAATTCTCAGCATAACGAAGCCAAGCCAAGTCAGGAAAGTAGTGGGAGCTTTGACCCTAGGTTCGATCTTGTGCTCGTGGGGGAATTCCAGTTCTCGATCTGCTCCGATCTAGCAGTCACGCAGTCGGCGGCGACAACGGTGTATCCCTCATTGCCACGCCATCAAAGCCCTGAAATCGCCAGCGCCACCGGTTGGTGATCAGCACGGGCCACCTGATCAGGCTAAGCTCGTGCTTGGCATGGTTTGCAAGACGTTGAATGCTGTGGACAAGTTCCTTCCCGTAGACACCTTCGCAGACTTCAACGGTAAGGTCCCCGCAGCCTCGGGCCAAAAAGACATCCAATTTTTCTTTCCCTTTCCTTGAGGGAGCTGACTTGCCCCTTAGCCCCGGTCGTGTCCTCATCCTGCATCTTGTGGAGACCGTCGATGGCAGTTGCGAGGGCCTGGGAGGTGTTCGAGACCCCCAGTGCGTCGACAAAGGAAGAGCCTGCTTTCTCAAGTAAATCTCTCCCCAGCCGGAATGGCCGACCCTGCGGGCTATCAGGCTGAGCTGCCGACGGAAACAGAAAGCTGCGGGCAGTCCCAAAGCCTCCTTGAAGTGAAGAAATGCGTTTGCTAATGCTTGACTACGACTAGCCACAAGGCTCGCAGCTCAGGCAGGGGCAACGGAGGCGGGGTTCTTATTGGGTTCCAAGTTGGGTTGAGACCTGGCGGCATCACCGCTTCAGAGGGCCCGGCCCTCACGTCTTGCACGTCCAGCTTCTCAAGCAAGACAGTCTGGACCCTGGACCCTTTCGGGGGCGACCCCAAAAGCGCGGCTCCCTCCGTCCGTGCTACCTTGAACGCGTCCATCTCGGCGCTAGCATCCAATGGTTCCTCACAGCGGAGGAAACACCTGCTGGGCTGCGACGTGCTGACCGGTTGGGAGTTCGGGGGATGCCGACGGCGCTCTCCAGCATCAAAGTTGGTAAAGGGTTCCGGGGTCACGCGCTTCTTCCCAACTACGGATCCAATTTCATGCGGACGGGGAGACTTGGATGCTGACCCCCCAATCCTCGAGCTCCTTTGGGGGCTCATGGAGGAACTCCCGAAGCCAAGTGCATGGGCAGCGACCGCGTGAGTCAGTATCCGGATTAACGTGCCAAGGCACGCTGACACGACGAATGTCCAGACTTGGGAAATGGATCTGACATCTGTCGGAACGTCGACCGTCCGGAGCGGCTCCCTCGATCCGCCCAAGGAAAAGATACCACGACGGAGCCCCGCCGCGCCCGAAGAACGGGCGAAGCCTGACAAGCGTCGGAGCTCCTACTTCTGGCCGGGAGATCCTCTCAAATCCTCTCCTAGCGCGAGGGGCTCTCATACTCTGCTGGACTTGGTCCCGTACTGGACTGCCCATTTAGATGCAGCGCTCGCTGGATCAGCGGAGTAGGACCTTCTCATACCAGGAGTACGAGAACTGGTCGGTCTTTGGTTACTTGGCCCTTTCAGCGGCCCTGTTGCCGCAGGGCTGTTGCTCGCCCAGTTTCAGCTAAATGCTTTTTGCAGAGCGGGGGCATGACAAGAAACCACACTGCACTTTTGTTTCTGGCAGGCAAGAAGGTAAATCTGGCTGTGGTGATCGCACAAGCGGGCGCAGGCCCTACCTCCCAGATGTGAGAGCTCGATATCCTGATCGAGAAGCCTAGTCCCTTCTGAAGCAGCTCGATCCTCGCAACCCTCGGGAGCCAAAGCCCTAACCTTACCCTGAAGCTCCAAGCCCATCAGACTGCGTCGCAGGTGCTTGGTGAAACTTCAGCCTCCGACTCAGTCCGGATCCAAAGTGCTCAGTACTCCTTGTTCTTCAATCTGCGTCGGACAAATATATAGATGCCCTCCGGGTGGGCCCACAACAAGTTCGGAAGCATCGCCGGGGGCACCCTTTTCCTCATACAACCTCGGCCCAGCCTCACCAACAGTCACCAGCCTGACATGTGGGCGTACGCTCCAAGATCAACCAGTGCCTCGGCGTCACACGTTGCAAAAGAACTACAATGAAAGCCCGGATGAGCACATTCGACACACCGGCAAAGGTGTGGCTCAACTCTTCTCTGGTACGCGGGGAGGTAACTCTCAACACCTTCGAGGGCTTGTCCACCGTCTCCGGAATGGAACACCCTCAGGAGGTACTCCTGCCGAACTCGATGAGGTTTGCACCGGGGCTCTGTCTTTGGTGAGTCCAACCACCGGGGAAGCCAGCTGTCCACAACCGTCGCAAAGACGAGGACAACGGCATTCGGTGCCATGGTGCAAGTTGTGGTAGAACCTAATTGCACAAGAAAGGCTTGGCCGAGCTTCAACGGCAGAACTTTACGTTATCTCTAACGGTCAATTCTCAAACATACTCAAGCCACCCGCGGAATCCGCAACAACAGCATGCCGCCACTGTCTGCGGCCTGGTGCCGCAATGTTTTATTTCATTTCAATCATTCCCAGCCATGCCCGTCACCGTCACCTTCCGAACCAGATTGTTTTGCATTCATCTTTAGCTCAACTCTTCTGACTGAATCTGTGTGTTCCTGGTCAGTAACCAGTCTTACTTGAGGCACCTCGGGCTCGACTCGCAAAGACTACGGCTACGTAGCAGCAGCAGTAGTAACAGCAGCAACAAGAGCAGGAGCAGGAGCAGGAGGGGCAGGGGCAGCAGCAGCAGCAGGAGGAGGAGGAGTAGTAGTGGTAGTGGTAGTG